GAATTCACATGTTTCGTTGTTTTGATTGTTCAATTTCTCGATTCTCCGATTTTTCGATTACTTGATGTCTCAGCTTTAGAATTTTTCCATGTTTCGATTTATGGATTTTTCGACTTTTGGACCCCTCGATTTTTGGGTCTTTTGATTTTTCGATTTCTCGATGTCTCAGTTTTTGAATTTTACGATGTTTCGATTTGTTGGTTTTTCGATTTTTTGCTCTTCGGTTTCTCGATTTTTCGATGTTTCGATTTTTGAATTATCCGATTTTTCAGTTTTCCAATTTTTTAAATTTTCGAGTTTCGATTTCTCGATTCGTTGACTTTTGAGATTTCGATTTTTAAATTTTAGATTTTCGAATTTTTATTTTTTTTTTTGGATTTCTCCACTTTTCAATTTTACGATATTTTAACTTCTCAATGTTTTAAATTTTAGATTTTTCAGTTGTTCAATATTTTTTTAGTTTTCAAATTTTGACGTTTATGAATTTTCAGTTTTCGGATTTCTCAATTAATCTATTTTTTTATATTCCCATTTCTCCACTTCCCAAAGTTTCGATTTTTCAGTTTTTCAAGTTTTGGAATTTTTCAAATGTTTTGATTTCTTAATCAATCGATTTTTTGACTTCCCGGTTTTAGATTTCCTGTTTTTCAATTGTCGTTTTTCCAAATTTTCGATTTTTCAATTTTTCAAATTTGTCGTTTATAAACTGTCAATTTTACGATTTTTCAATTAATCGATGTTTTGATTTTCCCATTTCTTGACTTTCGAGGGTTTCGATATTCTTGTTCTTGCTCAATTTTTCGACTTTTTAGGTTCTCAGTTTTTGGATATTTCAGTTTTCGGATTTTCCAGGTTTTCCATTTTTCAGTTTTTCTTTAATTTTTCAGTTTTTCGATATTTCAGTTTTGGGATTTTTCAATATTTTGATTCTTCGACTTTTCCATTTTTGACTTCTGGATTTTTCGATGTGTCGACTTTTTACTTTTTCGATTTTTAAATTTTAGATTTCTCAATTTTTTGGTATTTTAATTTTTCAATATTTTAAATTTTAGATTTCTCGATTTTTCATTTCACTTCTTCGATATTTCAGTTTTTCAAGTTTTCGAATTTTTCAAATGTTTCGATTTCTTAATCTTTTGATTTTTCGACTTCCCGGTTTTGGATTTTCTGTTTTTCAATTGTCATTTTGACAAATTTTAGATTTTTTTATTTTTCAAATTTGATTTTTATAAACTCTCAATTTTTCGATTTTTCAATTAATCGATGTTTTGGTTTTCCCATTTCATGACTTTCGAGGGTTTCGATATTCTTGTTCTTTAATTCTTCAATTTTGCTATTTTTCAGGTTTTTGATTTTTTAATTTTTTAAGGTTTCAATTTTTCGACTTCACTTTTTGGATTTTTCTATTGCTCAATTTTTCGACTTTTTATGTTCTCAGTTTTCGGATTTTTCAGGTTTTCCATTTTTTAATTTTTCTTTCATTTTTCAGTTTTTCGATATTTCAGTTTTGGGAATTTACAATATATATTTTGATTCTTTGACTTTTCGATTTTTGGCTTCTGGAGTTTTCGATGTGTCGATTTTTTTACTTTTTCGATTTTTCAATTTTTCGATTGCTTAATCTTTCGATTTTTCGACTTCCCGGTTTTAGATTTTCTGTTTTCAATTGTCGTTTTAAATTTTTCTATTTTTCATTTCAGTTCTTCGATATTTCAGTTTTTTCAAGTTTCCGAATTTTTCAAATGTTTCGATATCTTAATTTTTTGATTTTTCGACTTCCCGGTTTTAGATTTTCTGTTTTTCAATTGTCATTTTGTCAAATTTTCGATTTTCTAATTTTTCAAATTTGACTTTTATATACTCTCAATTTTTCGATTTTTCAATTAATCGATGTTTTGATTTTCCCATTTCGTGACCTTCGAGTGTTTCAATTATCCTGTTCTTCAATTCTTTAGTTTTTTGATTTTTCGATTTTTCAGTTTTAGAATCTTTCAATATTTCAATTTTCGGCTTTTCTATTTTTTACTTCTGGATTTTTCAATGTGTCTACCTTTTTACTTTTTCGATTTTTCAATTTTTGGGTCTTTAAATTTTAGATTTTTCAATCTTTTGCTATTTTAATTTTTGAATATTTCTTAATCTTTCGATTTTTCGACTTCCTGGTTTTAGATGTTCTGTTTTTCAATTTTTCGATTTGTTAAGTTTTCATTCCCGATTTATCGAGATTTGATTGTTCAGTTTTCCAGTTGTCCATTTTTACGTTTTTTGATTTTTCTGCTTTTCCAATTTTTCAACTTTTAACTTTTTATTTGTCGATTTCTCTATTTATTTCTCTATTTTTCGATTTTTCGACTTCATCACTTTTCGATTTCTCGTTCTTTTGATCTTCCAATCTCTCAATTTTTCAATTTTTCGAATTTTTAAGTTTTTTGATTTCTCGATTTATCGAGATTCGGATTTTTCGTTTTTTGATTGTCAATTTCTCAATTTTTAACTTTTCGATTTTTAGATTTTGGCCTATTTCGGTTTCTCAAATGTGCGACTTTTCGACTCCTTGGGAGTTTCAATTTCCCGATTTTTCGTTATTCGGTTTTTAAATTTTAGATTTTGAATTTTACATTTTTTCGATTTTCTGATGTTTCATTTTTCGATTTTCATTTCTTCGATATTTCGATTTTTTAATGTTTCGATTTTTCGATTATTAAATTTCTCGATTTTTCTAATTTTCATTTCAGCTCTTCCATATTTAAATTTTTCAAATGTTTCGATTTCTTAATCTTTCGATTTTTCGACTTCCCGATTTTAGATTTTCTGTTTTTCAATTGTCGTTTTTTCAATTTTTCGATTTTTAAATTTTAGATTTTTCAGTTTTTTAATATTTTAATTTTTCAATATTTAAAATTTTAGATTTTTCGATTTCTCGATTTTCCATTTCAGTTCTTCGATATTTCAGTTTTTCAAGTTTTCGAATTTTTCAAATGTTTTGATTTCTTAATCTATCGATTTTTCGACTTCCCGGTTTTGGATTTTCTGTTTTTCAACTGTCGTTTTTTCAAATTTTCGATTTTTCAATTTTTCGATTTTTCTATTAATCGATGTTTTGATTTTTCCATTTCTTGACTTTCGAGGGTTTCGATATTCCTGTTCTTTAATTCTTCAATTTTTCGATTTTTCAGGTTTTTGATTTTTTAAGGTTTCAATTTTTCGACTTCACTTTTTGGATTTTTCTATTGCTAAATTTTTCGACTTTTTATGTTCTTAGTTTTCGGATTTTTCAGGTTTTCCCGATTTAGTTTCCCATTTTTAGTTTTTCTTTAATTTTTCAGTTTTTCGATATTTCAGTTTTGGGATTTTTCAATAATTCGATTCTTCGACTTTTCGATTTTTGTCTCCTGGATTTTTCGATGCGTCATTTTTTTACTTTTTCGATTTTTCAATTTTTCGTTTTTTAAATTTTAGATTTTTTTAAGGTTTCGATATTTCGACTTCACTTTTTTGATTCTGTTCTTCGACTTTTCCATTTTACTTCTGGATTTTTCGATGTGTCGACTTTTTACTTTTTCGATTTTTAAATTTAGATTTCTCAATTTTTTGGTATTTCAATTTTTCAATATTTTAAATTTTAGATTTCTCGATTTTTCATTTCAGTTCTTGGATATTTCAGTTTTTCAAGTTTTTGAATTTTTCAAATGTTTTGATTTCTTAATCTATCGATTTATCGACTTCCCGGTTTTGGATTTTCTGTTTTTCAACTGTCGTTTTTTCCAATTTTCGATTTTTCTTGATCTTTTGATTTTTCGATTTTCCAGTTTTTCGATGTTTCGATTTTTCAGTTATCCGATTATTTAAATTTGGGAGTTTCAATTTCTCGATTTTTCGATTTTACATTTTTTCGTTTTTCAGTTCTTCGATATTTCGATTTTTCAATGTTTCGGTTTTACGATTTTTCAGGTTTTTGATTTCTTATTTTTTAATTTTGTTAAGGTTTCAATTTTTTTACTTCATTTTTTGGATTTTTCAAGTTTTCCATTTTTCAGTTTTTCGATATTTCAGTTTTGGGATTTTTCAATATTTCGATTCTTCGACTTTTCGAATTTTTCAAATGTTTCGATTTCTTAATCTTTTGAATTTTCGACTTCCCGGTTTTAGATTTTCTGTTTTTCAATTGTCATTTTGTCAAATTTTCGATTATTTTATTTTTCAAATTTGACTTTTATAAATTCTCAATTTTTCGATTTTTCAATGAATCGATGTTTTGATTTTGCCATTTCTTGACCTTCGGTGTTTCGATTTTTCTGTTCTTCAATTCTTTAATTTTTTGATTTTTCAGGTTTTTAATTTTTCAATTTTTAAGGTTCTATTTTTCGACTTCACTTTTTTGATATCAGTATATCAATTTTTTATTTTGGCCTATTTCGGTTTCTCAGTTTTCCCAGTTTTCCATTTTTTCGTTTTTTGATTTTTCCGCTTTTCCAATTTTTCAACTTTTAACTTTTTGTTTGTCGATTTCTCTATTTTTCGACTTCATCACTTTTCAATTTCTCGTTCTTTGGATCTTTCAATCTCTCGATTTTTCAATTTTTCGAGTTTTTAACCTTTTTGATTTATCGAGATTCGGATTTTTCGATATTTTGATTGTTAATTTCTCAATTTATAAATTGTTCAATTTTTAACTTTTCGATTTTTAGATTTTGGCCTATTTCGGTGTCTCAATTATTCGACTTTTCGACTCCACGATTTCTTGATCTTTTGATTTTTGATTTTTCGTAATTCGGTTTTTAAATTTTACATTTTTGAATTTTACATTTTTTTTTAATTGCGTCTAATAATTCTGATCTAATAAATAAAGTAGCTCAAAGCAAATGTCAATCAGACTACTGACAGACAAAAAACTAAATCATCAAACTTAAAGAAAAAAATATCAAAGCCTACTTTACTATATAAAGATCGTGAATGGATAATACTTGTGGTTTCTCTATGCATTAATATTTTTTTATTAGGCCGCCAAATACTCGTGTCCTTATTGCAACTACCAGTCGATCCAAACCACCGCCTACAAGTCCCATCTGGTCAACAAACACCCAGGGAAAGAGGGCACCTATTCTTGTACCCTGTGTCGGTACACCACCATCAACTGCCGCTCGTACTTGTCGCACATGAAGTGCCATGAGCTCGAGAACGCGGACAAACCCAACGGGAAGGTGGAGAAGCACGTCGAAGACAGCGAATCCAAGTCGAGCGACGAAACGCAGACTTTTCTCAATAACGAGCACTCGGAGGAGGCGGTGGACACCGGGGGGATCACCATTCCGGCGGAGTTTGACCTACAACTGCCGAACGACCAAACGAGTCTGATCTAACTTTGTGATCGTTCCTAGGCTAGGGATCGTTTTGATAAAAGGGTTCTTATAGAACTTATTTTTATTTATATACGGAAATAAATTAGTTAATTACTGACGATGGGTTTGGGTCTTGTTTTGAAAATGAGTTTTTTTGTGATTATGGTTTTGATGTGGTAAGCGACGCCGGTGTCGGTTTTCTTCTCCAAGAGGGCCAGAGGTTTTTCCATTTTCATTTCTTTGCCGAACATGAGGTGGTGGCCGATTATTAGCACGGGTGTCCCGGATTTGGTGAAGTGTAAGTCGCCGATGAACTGGCCGTCGAACGGGGATTGGCTGTGGGATTTGAGGTCGCCTTGTAGTTCAACTATGGCCCAATCGGGAGACAGTCCTTCGCTTGGCCTGGAAGATAAACCCCGTCACAATAATCTATATACAGGTGAAGAAAAACGTCGAAGTTTATATGCTTTAAAAAAATTACAATCGGATTATTTTTAAAATCATTGTTTAAAATTTTCATTGACGGTTTGACATCTGGATTTCAGCACTCCAACTTCTTACTTTATGCTGACGATCTGAAATTATTCAAGGCTATTCAATCCGTTGATGGTGCTTTAGAATTTCAGTTCGACATAAATACTCAACTGGTAAGTCTGGGGAAAATAGTAAAAAAATTCTTCTCACATTTTGGTGGAATTAGCCCCGCCCACCCACCCTCTCTTTTCTTCGAGGGCATGTCATTTGCCAAAATCACTGATAAGAGTGATAAGTAAACCGAGGATTCTCTACGCCTATAATTAATCTGTCTGTCTGTGTCGATTTTTATTACACATAATCTTCGAAACTACTCGACCGATTGTTGTCAAATTTTGTATGTAATTAAGACTTATTTATTTACCTTCGACCAATTTTTTTATATTACAATTTTTCGTTTTTTCAACTTTAATTTTTTCACTTTCTCGACTTTAAAATTTTTCTATTCTTCGATTTACAAATTTTTAATTTTTGTTTCTTTCATTTTTCGTTTATTAAATTTTTCAAACGTTCAATTTTTGCTTTTTCAAATTCTCCAATTTTTAAATTTTTCACTTTGGCAATGTTTGGATTTCTCAATTAGCCGATTTTGCACTTTTACGAACTTTCAACTTCTCATTTCTTCTATTTTTTCAAGTTCTTGATTTAGAGTTTTTAGATTTTTCAAAATTTTAATTTTGTCCTTTTTTGTTTTTTCGTTGTCGATTTTCCAATTTTACAGTTTTAGAATTTTTGCTTTTTTGATTCGGAAAAAAGTGGAAAAATCGCAAAATTTTTCAATTTTTCAATTTTGCAATTTTTGATTTTCTCAATAATTAGCTGATTTTCCGATTTATTTACTTTTTGATATTTAGATTTTACAATATTTCGTTTGTTCGATTTTGCACTTTTTCGATTTTTAATTTTTTTCCAAGTTCTATATTTAGAATTTTTAGATTGTCCAAATTTTCACTTTGTATTTCTTCGTTTTCATTTTTGAATTTTCAGTTTTACAATTTTAAAGTTTTTTCTTTCGAAAAACTGAAAAACGGGAAATTTCAGTTCCAACAATTTTTTAGATTTTTCAATTTTGCAAATTTTGGATTTCGCAATTAGCCGATTTTTCGATTTATTTAATTTTTGACTTTACAATATTTGGTTTTCTCGATTTTGCACTTTTTCGAACTTTCAATTTCTCATTTCTTCTATTTCTTCAAGTTCTTGATTTAGAATTTTTAGATTTTTCAAAATTTTAATTTTGTCCTTTTTTGTTTTTTCGTTGTCGATTTTTCAATTTTACAGTTTTAGAATTTTTGCTTTTTTGATTCGGAAAAAAGTCGAAAAATCGCAAAATTTTTCAATTTTTCAATTTTGCAATTTTTGATTTTCTCAATAATTAGCTGATTTTCTGATTTATTTACTCTTTGATATTTAGATTTTACAATATTTCGTTTATTCGATTTTGCACATTTTCGATTTTTTGTTTCGATTTTTAATTTTTTTCCAAGTTCTATATTTAGAATTTTTGGATTGTCCAAATTTTCATTTTGTATTTCTTCGTTTTCATTTTTGAATTTTCAGTTTTACAATTTTAAAGTTTTTTCTTTCGAAAAATTGAAAAATCGAAAAACTGAAAAACGGGAAATTTCAGTTCCAACAATTTTTTAGATTTTTCAATTTTGCAAATTTTGGATTTCGCAATTAGCCGATTTTTCGATTTATTTAATTTTTGACTTTACAATATTTCGTTTTCTCGATTTTGCACTTTTACGAACTTTCATTTTTCATTTCTTCTATTTCTTCAAATTCTTGATTTAGAATTTATAGATTTTTTAAAATTTTAATTTTGTCCTTTTTTGTTTTTTCGTTGTCGATTTTTCAATTTTACAGTTTTAGAATTTTTGCTTTTTTGATTCGGACAAAAGTCGGAAAATCGCAAAACTGAAAATGCGAAAAATTTCAATTCCTTCGATTTTTAAATTTTTCAATTTTGTGATTTTTGATTTTCTCAATAATTAGCCGATTTTTCGATTTATGATATTTAGATTTTACAATATTCGTTCATTCGATTTTTCAATTTTTTCCAAGTTCTTGATTTAGAATTTTTAGATTGTACAAATTTTTCACTTTGTATTTCTTCGTTTTCATTTCTGAATTTTCAATTTTACAATTTTTGAAGTTTTTTCTTCTTATGAATCGAAAAATTGAAAAATCGAAGAATTAAAAATCGAAAAACTAAAAATCGGAAAAAATTAAAAAATCTAAAAACTGAAAAACAAGAAATATCAGTTCCCACAATTTTAAAATTTTTCAATTTTGTAATTTTTGGATTTCGCAATTAGCCGATTTTTCGATTTTTTTAAATTTCGACTTTACAATATTTCGTTTTCTCAATTTTGCACTTTTTCGAATTGTCAATTTTTCATTTCTTCAATTTTTTCAAGTTCTTGATTTAGAGTTTTTAGATTTTTCAAAATTTCCATTTTGTCGTTTTTGGTTTTTGATATTTCAATAATTTTACAGTTTTACAATTTTTGTTGTTTTGATACGAAAAGCTGAAAAATCGAAAACTAACTAGCCGATTTTCCGATTTCTTTAATTTTTAATATTTCGAATTTACAATACATATTTCGTTTTTCGATTTAACACTGTTTCGATTTTTAATTTTACAGTTTTTCAATAGTATAATTTTTCATTTTTCAACATTTTCAGTTTTTTACTTTTCAATTTTATTTTTCACTTTCTTGATTTATTAATTTTCAGTTTCTAGATTTTTTATAAGAAATTTTCCTTTTTTGATTTCCTTTACTTTTTCAATCTCTTTTTCCTTTTTTCATTTATTCAATTTTTCAAACATTCAATCTTTGATTTTTCACTTCCTCCAATTTTTCAATTTTGCGATTTCTGGATTTCTCAATTAGCCAATTTTCCGATTTCTTTAGTTTTTAATATTTCGATTTTACAATATTTCGTTTTTTTGATTTTTAAGTTGCTCAGTTTCTCATTGCTTCAGTTTTTTCAAGTTCCTGATTTAGAATTTTTAGATTTTCCAAAATTTTGATTTAGTATTTTTTCGAAAAGGTGAAAAATCTAAAAATTGAAAAATTTCTTGATAATGCAATTTTTCATTCTTCCAACTTTCTTTTATTCACTTTTTCATTTTCCAAATTTTTTCAGTTTTCGATTTGTAATTTTTCAGTTCCGCAATTACTTTTCGATATTACAATTTTTCATTTTTCGATTCATCAAATTTTCAATTTTTATATCACAAATTTTCCTCTATATTTTCAGTGTTTCTTTCTTTTTTCGTTTATTAAATTTTTCAGAGGTTGAATTTTTGCTATTTCAAATTCTCCAATTTTTAAATTTTTCACTTTGGCAATGTTTGGATTTCTCAATTAGCCGATTTTCCGATTTATTTAATTTTTGACTTTACAGTATTTCGTTTTCTCGATTTTGCACTTTTACGAACTTTCAATTTCTCATTTCTTCTATTTTTTCAACTTCTTGATTTCGAATTTTTAGATTTTTCAAAATTTTAATTTTGTCCTTTTCTGTTTTTTCGTTGTCGATTTTTCAGTTTTACAGTTTTAGAATTTTTGCTTTTTTGACTCGGAAAAGTCGAAAAATCGCAAAACTGAAAAAGCGAAAAATTTCAGTTCCTTCAATTTTAAAATTTTTCAATTTTGAAATTTCGTTCATCCGATTTTGCAATTTCGTTCATTCGATTTTCCACTTTTTCGATTTTTTGTTTCTATTTTTCAATTTTTCAATTTCTTCCAAGTTCTTGATTTAGAATTTTTAGATTGTCCAAATTTTTCACTTTTTTTTTTCTTCGTTTTCATTTTTAAGTTTTCAATTTTACAATTTTAAAGTTTTTCCTTCTTATGATTCGAAAAATTGAAAAATCGAAGAATTAATAATCGAAAAACTAAAAATCGGAAAAAACTAAAAAATCGAAAAACTGAAAAACGAGAAATTTCAGTTCCTACAATTTTTTAATTTTTCAATTTTGCAATTTTTGAATTTCGCAATTAGCCGATTTTCCGATTTATTTAATTTTTGACTTTACAGTATTTCGTTTTCTCCATTTTGCACTTTTACGAACTTTCAATTTCTCATTTCTTCTATTTTTTCAACAACTTGATTTAGAATTTTTAGATTTTTAAAAATTTTTATTTTGTCCTTTTTTGTTTTTTCGTTGTCGATTTTTCAATTTACAGTTTTAGAATTTTTACTTTTTTGATTCGGAAAAAAGTCGAAAAATCGCAAAACTCAAAAAGCGAAGAATTTCAATTCCTTCAATTTTTAAATTTTTCAATTTTGCAATTTTTGATTTTCTCAATAATTATCCGATTTTCCGATTTATTTAATTTTTGATATTTAGGTTTTACAATATTTCGTTTATTCGATTTTGCTCTTTTTCGATTTTTTAATATTTCAATTTTTTCCAAATTCTTGATTTAGAATTATCAATTTTACAATTTTAAAGTTTATCCTTCTTATGATTCGAAAAATTGAAAAATCGAAGAATTAATAATCGAAAAACTAAAAATCAGAAAAAATTAAAAAATTGAAAAATAGAAAAACGAGAAATTTCAGTTCCTACAATTTTTGAATTTTTGAATTTTGCAATTTTTGGATTTCTCAATTAACCGATTTTCCGATTTATTTAATTTTTGACTTGAGAGTATTTCGTTTTCTCGATTTTGCACTTTTACGAACTTTCAATTTCTCATTTCTTCTATTTTTTCAAGTTGTTGATTTAGAATTTTTAGATTTTTCAAAATTTTTATTTTGTCCTTTTTTGTTTTTTCGTTGTCGATTTATCAATTTACAGTTTTAGAATTTTTGCTTTTTTGATTCGAAAAGTTGAAAAATCGAAAAAC